TCTCTCTTCTTAGCGTTGTAGGGAAGCTGCTGGCCCGTGTTGTGCTGAAGAGGCTCCAGGTGCTTGCAGACAGAGTCTATCCAGAATCACAGTGTGGATTTCGAGCTAATAGATCCACCACTGACATGGTATTCTCCCTCCGACAGTTGCAGGAGAAATGCAGGGAACAACAACAGCCACTCTTAGTGGCCTTCATAGGCCTTACAAAAGCATTTGACTTGGTTAGCAGGGATGGCCTTTTAAAAATACTTCCCAAGATTGGATGTCCACCTCGTCTCCTTAACATCATCAGATCCTTCCATGAGGGAATGAAAGGCACTGTAGTTTTTGACGGCTCAACATCAGATCCCTTTGACATCCAAAGCAGAGTGAAACAGGGCTGTGTCCTCGCACCAACCCTTTTTGGGATCTTTTTTGCTGTCATGCTGAGGCATGCCTTTGGAACTGCAACAGAAGGTGTCTATCTCCGGACTAGATCAGACGGAAAGCTCTTTAATCTCTCCAGATTGAGAGCAAAGACCAAAGTCCAACTGAAATGCATGCGGGACTTCCTCTCGCAGATGATGCAGCCATTATTGCCCACTCTGCTGAAGACCTCCAACAACTCATGAATCGTTTCAGCAATGCCTGCCAAGACTTTGGACTAACAATCAGCCTGAAGAAAACACAAGTCATGGGCCAGGGCGTGGACTCACCTCCTTCTATTACCATCTCCACACAAGAATTGGAGGTTCTTCATGACTTTGTGTACCTTGCTCAACCATCTCTGACACCCTCTCCCTGGATGTCAAGCTGGATAAACGCATTGGCAAAGCAACTACCATGTTCTCTAGACTCACAAAGAGAGTATGGCTCAATAAGAAGCTGACGACACATACCAAGATCCAGATCTATACAGCCTGTGTCCTGAGCACACTCCTGTACTCTTTGTGCATGGCAGGAGAGGAAGCTGAACACATTCCATACGTGTTGCCTCCAACAGATTTTTGGCATCACCTGGCAGGACAAAGTTCCAAACAGAGTACTCCTAGAACGAGCTGGAATATTCAGCATGTATACATTACTGAAACAGCGACGTCTACGTTGGCTTGGGCACGTCGTGAGAATGGCTGATGGTCAGATTCCGAAAGATCTCCTGGATGGAGAATGAGCGCAGGGAAACCGCCCCAGAGGGAGACCACAGCTGCGATCCAAGGAGATCTGCAAGCGAGATCTACGTAAAGTCCTTAGGAATGGACCTCCACAGATGGGAAACCTTGACCTCTGAGCGTTCAGCCTGGAGGCAGGCACTGCATCACGGCCTCTCCCAATTCGAAGAGACCCTTGTCCAGCAGGCCGAGGCAAAGAGGAAGTCACAAAAGCAGTAAAACCAGGGAGCCGGACAGGGGACAGATTGTATTTGTCTTCAGTGTGGAAGGGATGGTCACCCTCGAATCGGCCTCTTCAGCCACACTAGACGCTGTTCCAAGTCCTCCATACAGAGCACGTCACCATAGTCTTTTGAGACTGAAGGATGCCATAATAAAGGTTGAACTTTATTATACTTGTTTTGGTTTGTGTGACTACCTGCATACAGAGTAACTAGCATTTATGTGGTTTTCTGAGTACAATCAATTTTGGATTTCAGGATAACGTGTAGTCCAAATGTCTCCCTTTTGTTCTGTTTTAGCACTACATCAATCTACTGCTATGCGAGTGTGTGTGTGTTTGTGTGTGTGTATTAAAAGTGCTTTACTGCATATGATGATTCCTTATAGACAGAGGAAACCGCTGTCATAATCACTGTGGGCTGTGTTGGAGGCTGCTGATGGTGGCTTTGCTCAATAAGAACTGTGGAGTCCAGCACTGGCTGCTCTCAAGGCAGGCAAGCTCTGGCTTAAGAATGGGGTGGAGAACTAAGTTCCCATTACAGAGCAGGGGAAATGGGGACCTGAAACGCCAAAGCGCCAAGGGACGATACAGCTCACCATCAGACTAAAAGCTGTTCTGTGGACGCACACACGGACACAAAAACATGTGACGTTAAATTGATTTCTAGAAACCCGAACCAGTTCCCGATTTAACTCAACAGTGGTGTCGCACACCAAGTTAGGTTTCTACCTAGATTCCTCCTGTGCCCACTTCCACCACCCGAGGGTCCAGAAAAACAGGCCCGGCCCTTCCGTCTCTCACCTGCAGGACATCACAAAGGACCGGCCCCAGCATCAGATGCCAGATTTTGACATCTCAGGGAATGGGGCCATTTTCATAGGCCCGGCTACCCGTTTTGTGAGTTCCCTCTCGGCCTACAGACAGCCGAAAACGTGGGCGATTCCCACAGCAAAGGCTTTGTACTGAGAAGTCATTTAAACGGAGTCCAGAAAAACAGGCCCGGCCCTTCCGTCTCTCACCTGCAGGACATCACAAAGGACCGGCCCCAGCATCAGATGCCAGATTTTGACATCTCAGGGAATGGGACCATTTTCATAGGCCCGGCTACCCGTTTTGCGAGTTCCCTCTCGGCCTACGGACAGCCGAAAACGTGGGCGATTCCCGCAGCAAAGGCTTTGTACTAAGTCATTTAAACAGAACAAGAAATGGCACGTTCTGGCCACCCCTCCCAGGCTGACGGGGCCTCTAGAGAGGAAGGCAGTTGTTCTCCGGAGGGAAGGAAGACGACCTTGTGGGATGATGGATCCTGACAGTGAGGCCACGCCAGCACTGTGACCTCCCATGGGAGCCCACTGGCAGCTGAGGAGCCTCGGCCCTGGTGAAGGGCAAGGTGGTCAATGGAAAGGAAGTCCAGAGTAACTTTAGGAAGGGGGGGAAATTAATTGAGGCTCGCCTCTTTCTTTCTCCCTGGCAAAGACACCGGAGTTCAACTCTCGCAATTAACATCTCATTAAACCATAGACTAGTTGCTCACGTTCATTGAGAATCAGGCTTCCGGCCTTTCATACTTGATTTTGTGGGGGAACTTTTGGCCTTCACTATCTCTGTTAGATGTGTGTGTGTGTGTGTGTGTGTGTGTGTGTGTAGAATCAGGCTTCCGGCCTTTCATACTTGATTTTGTGGGGGAACTTTTGGCCTTCACTATCTCTGTTAGATGTGTGTGTGTGTGTGTGTGTGTGTGTGTGTGTGTGTGTGTGTGTGTGTGTGTTTGTGTGTGTCCACACGCAGAAGTGTGGAGGGGCGGTTGATGCCTTCACTTCCTCTAAGGGAAACCCCTCCTAAAAACACACACACACACACACACACAACACAACCTTCTGGATGTGTCAGGACACAACCAGTGAAAAGGAATGGCAGCACCTCTCCCTCTGTTCTTGATGTGTATTCCTTCCATCTCTGTGTGAAAGTTCACCTGAAGATGTTCGCATGTTTGCACGGTGCCCATTTCTCCCCAGCCTAGAAGTGCTGCAACCTGCAGAGAAGGTCCCAAATCATCTACCATTTGCATGTGGGTTTTTCCCCTTTGGGAATGCTGCATTAGAAGACCGCCCTCAGTGCAGCCTCCAACTGTAAGTCTCTCGACATGCCACTGAAAGCGTTCCCCAGCCCTCCTGCTCAGCAGCTCCCGCTAGGCATGGGGGCCGGCTTGGCCGCCATCGGGTGGAACCCTAGGGTCACCGCTGGCCTGACCTTGCTTTCCCTGCAACCCGCCAGGCTGGAGGTGTGGTGCCCACCAGGGCTAAGACAGGAGGAGGAAGGCTTTCCAGCTGCAAAGGCCCCAGGAAGATCCCTTGCAGGTGGCCCCCGTTGCAGAAGGGTGCAGGAGCCCCTTCTTTCGCCCTTGCTGTCAGGCACCCGCCAGGGGTTCTCAGAGGCAAGGTGCCCTCCTCACAGGCTCTGCCCAGTGACAGGGTCAAATGCCGTGTGGTGGCCAACGGCTTCTCACAGCCAGAGGCCGTGCCAAACCCTGTTCTTTGCCTTTGAATCCTATAACCACCCTCGAAAGAAGGAAAAGCCCTCTCGCCCTGGTCAGGATTCCCCAGTCACTTGGCCTCCCGCTTGGACTTCCAAGCCGCCTGACGCCCTGATGGCAAAAGAAGGCTTTCCGACTCTCTGCGCTCCCCTTGCCCCCAACAGAGATGCTGTTCCGGGTGGTGATGCCACCAAAGCCTCTGTTTCAGTCCGCCCCGAAAGAGATGCTGCCTTCCTTCTCAGGAGACCCTCCTGGGACAGCTGCGCTTGTACCGACTGACCTGAGTTGATCAGAGTTCTCCCTCCGCAAATGAAACAGGACTCGCCTCCCCGCCATCGCCTGAAAGCCTGCCTCTGGAAGCTGGCTCCCCAAAACTTCCCACTGCCCCCTAAGGAGAGGCCTGGAGGGCCCTCCCAGCCCCACAGACCGTCAGTTCCAGCGCTGCCAGCGAGGGGAAGAGACTGCAGCTCCCAGAGAGGAGGAGAGAGCGAGAGTGCGGGCCCACAGAAGGGCCACCACTGCTCCACCCCAGAAATGTCCAAAAGGATGACGCTCCACGCCATGGGGCTGAGGAAGCCCCCTGCCAACACCCAGGCCGGTGGTCAAGAGGAGAGCGTGCCACCCACGCGCTGGGCAGCTTCCCGAGTCTGTATTATTCCTTCCCCTCCCTGGGTCTTCCACTCTCACCCCACCCCACCCCACCCCCAACCTGTTTTTATACCACCTCTGGCACAATGTCCCGACAAAGAGGAATGAGTGGCCATCCACGGAGCTCTTAGGGACATAGAAAATAAACTTTATTCTCCGTTTAGGTGCCTACACAGTAGTTGCATCACTAACCACGACCCTCATGGGAAGAATGCAGCTCATGTTGCTCGACACAGACCACAGAGAAGCCTCTGCCTGGAGCCAGAGTCCACGCTCGCTGGTTGCCACGGAAGGAGGAGGAGGAGGGAGGGAGGGAGGGAGGGAGGGAGGGAGGGAGGGAGGGAGGGAGAGCAGCAGCAGCAGCAGCAACCTAGGCTTGGCTCTTTGATATATTTAACAGAAAATGAAAACAGGGGAAAAAAAACAGATTCCAGGGATAGACAACCCCCCCCAACACCCACTCCCTCTCCTGCCTGCTGTGGGCTGCAGCCAAGCCTTGCAGAGGCAGGCAGGAAGGGTCAAGGTTGTGGTGGCCGGCCCTGGCCGGGGCTCCAACCCAGAGGCATTGGTGCTGAGGTCAAGGCTGTGCTCCAGCGGCGGCCGGGACCGGGGAGCCCAGGGCGTTGGGAGAGGAGATGACGGGCGAGGCGGCCAGGTTGCCGATGGGCTGAGAGGCGGGCATGGAGGCGATTCCTGCGCATTGAGAGAGAGGCGAGCAGAGGGAGAGGGAGAGAGTCAACTCAACCGGAGCCGAGGAGGTGTCCCGGCCATGCTTCCGCCCACCCCGGAGCAGCCAGGAGGGGCGGCAGTATAGAGGCCACAGAGGGAAGGCTGGGCGCACCAGACCTTTCCCCCCTCCCCCGCCAGTTGCCCTCGGGAGCCCAAGCTCGGGGGCCCCTCTGGCTGCACCCCCCCACCTCGCCTCTTCCAGGGCCGGGGAACTGACCTGCCAACAGGCTGGAGGAGCTGACCGGCGTGTTCGCGGACGACAGCACCGTTGAGGTGCTCATCCTGGCCGGGTCCTTCACTATGGGATCTGTCCGAGAGAAAAGAAGGGCCAGGGCCCCCGTAAGGACAGCAAAGGACCCGTCTCAGGAACGGGAAGAGTGGCGCAGTGAACCACCCCTGCCCTGGGAGCTGTGCCCACGGCGGAGTGAAGGGAGTCCAGGGCAAAGGGGGACACACACACAAACACATACACACACCCCAAGGCCAGTGCAGGCCTGGAAAACTGCAGAGAACCCACGGGCTGTTTCTTATTCGATCCCCGGGACCCCCATGGATCCAAGCAGCCCTTTTGGCCCAAACTGAAAGGGACTGGAGGGCTTTCCCTTCTCACATCCCCCCCCCCAAGGTCGCACTGGGGGTAGCCCTTTGCTTTTCAGGAGAGTCAAACGATTCTCCTTTAAGACAAACACTCAGGCGTTCTTCTCTGCTGGGACCGGTCCTGGAAGGGGGTCCGAGGCAGTAGAGCGATGGTGGAGACAAGCGCACACAAGCACGTATGGTCCCCCTCTGTGGGGCAGAGCAGGTCCCTTAAGAGGGCTAAGAAGGAAGACTCCTTCCAAGGGCCAAGCAAGGGCTGGACAGAAAGGGAGGACGGCCCGATGGCCTGAAAGGGAGGGCGGTCCGAGAAAGCTCTGGTGGTCACAAAGGAGGACCTCCTCCCGGCGCTGGCCGGTCATGACCAGGCCGTCACCCCCACCCCCAGCCGCTCCTCTGCAGGGATCAAAAAAGGAGCCATGCTTATGCGGTGCCCCACAGATAGCTTGGAGGGGAAGCGCCCAGAGCGGGGGGGGGGGAGCCAAGGCCCTGCTCTGACGGCCCAACCCAGAGACTGGCGAGGGGGAGGGCCAGCGCCGGCCAGACCACCTACAGAAGTAAGGGTGCTCCATGGCCTCGCGGGCCGTCAGCCGGGTCTGGTGGTCATAGCGCAGCAGCTTGTCCAGGAAGTCCAGGGCCTCCGTGCTGACCAGGTGCTGGTTCTCACTGTGCACAAAACGCTCCCACCGCTTGCGAGAATGTCTGTGGGGATAGGAAGGAGAAGGGAAGGGCGAGGGGGGCTCGCCGGGCGGTTCCTTCCTCTCTGGAGACCCTGGAAGGCCTGGGTGCCAGGCGGCTGAGCCCAGAAGCCGC